GAGTGGCTCTTAGACTTGAAGGATGGGGGCGGGGGAGTGAAGGGCAGGGATAAGAGAAAGGAACATGCATAAAGACTAACAACAAAAGAACGTGGCTTGTTCAGAAAAATTTTAAAACTTTGATCTGGCTGGACCGGAAGCGAAGCAACTGAAGATAAGTATTGTATGCATCAATGATAGTACATTAATGCCTCTAATAAAGTCATATCAATAAATAAGGATTGATGGCTGTGAACAGATGAAGTCATTTTTCTTAAGTATACAGTAAATGCTAATTGCAGTTTGAAGAGCTTTGGGATATTCAGTTGGAAACATTGCTCACCCCATTAAACTCCACTAAGGACACTTTTTGGAAATCTTCTGACCTTGAAAGGAGTGGTTAGCCTCAACTTCAGGGTCAAGAGATTTGCCTTAGGCACTTATTTCAGACTCTTACTCTCGTAGGAACTGAGTATTCTCTGTGTTAATCCAAGTGGCCATCTCTGACTAAGGAAACTGCTCTGCTCCCTAAACAACTAACATTTCACTTTTCAAATACACATGGACTGTGCAGCTCAGCATCCGCAGATGTTGTTCTGCTGCTGCTTCCCAGCCTGTGGGGGAGGGAGCATCAAGAGGCATGTAAGGCTGAGATCCCAACGGAAGCCCTTCAAGTCACTAAAATGGCTGCAGTACGAAACTACTGAAGAAAACTGAAGAGGAAAAGAAGATCAGTAACATTTAATTCTCAAAGAGTAACTGGAAAAAAAAAAAAGGCAAGTTTTCAATTCACTGGGGATCTTTGCTGTTCCAGGACACTTCTAAGTTCACTCAGGGATATTTTGTTTGTATTCATGTTTCGTCAAAATTTATGAGCTGAAGGTCATTTCCTGAAACTGACACATTCGTACAGTCCCTGCCAATGCTGAAATAAATTTTACTTTATCAAGCAAAATTCTTCAGGCTCACAGTTTTTTGTTTTGTTTCATTTTTTGTTTTTGTTTTGTTTTGTTTTGATTTGATTTATTTGAAAGCAGAACTATAGAGTCGGGGGAGGAGGGTGGTCTCCATCCACTGGGTCATTCCCCAAATGGCTGCAACAGCCAGAGCTGGGCCAGGCTGAAGCAAGGAGCCAGGAGCTTCTTCTAGGTCCCCAACATGGGCACAGGGGCCCAAGCAGTTGGGCCATCCTCCTCTGCTTTCCCAGGTGCATTAGCAGGAGCTAGATCAGAAGTGGATGCCTGCACTATAGACAGTGGCTTTTCCTGCTGTGCCACAGTACTGGCCCTAAGGCTCACAGTTTTAAAATGATTTTTTTCAAGTGCTCTTCTAAGACTTTTCTTCCTCCTCAGGAATAAAACCAATGCATCAACTCATGGGAGAGTCATTACCCCAAGAGACTCTATCATGGGTATCACCATTAATCATCTATGAATTCACGGAAGCATTCAAGCTCCCCGATCCACTGCCATCACCACAAATCTTTCAGTAAGAACCTTTCTGAACACGAGACCATGTAGACAATCAGCTATGGGGCAGATCTTTCGATCAATCTGAGGATATTTTTGGAAACCACAAAGCAGAGCAGGACTGTCTTAGAAAATTCAGGGTTTATGCTCTATACTCTTACCCTCAACTGACTGACAATATAGATGGTGCTGGCATGGATGAAGATGCAGCCAAAAGAATAATTATTCTTGAATATGTAACAAACAATTGCTGAAGACCTTATATTTATCTTTTCTCACTGTCAGCAGTGTACAAATCCTTTGAAAGCTCTGAACACTTTTTTTTTTTTTTGACAGGCTGAGTGGACAGCGAGAGAGAGAGACAGAGAGAAAGGTCTTCCTTTTCCGTTGGTTCACCCCGCAATGGCAGCTGCAGCTGGCATGCTGCAACCAGCGCACAGCACTGATCCGAAGCCAGGAGCCAGGTGCTTCTTCCCAGTCTCCCATGCGGGAGCAGGGCCCAAGCACTTGGGCCACCCTCCACTGCACTCGCAGGCCACAGCGGAGAGCTGGACTGAAAGAGGAGAAACTGGGACAGAATCCGGCTCCCAGACTGGGACTAGAACCTGTGGTGCCGGCGCCACAGGCAGAGGATTAGCCTATTGAGCCTGGTGCCGGCCAGCTCTGACCACTTTAATGAAGTGTGCATTAAGAAAATTAACCCCTATCTTACTGGTTTCTTCAGCTACTAACCTTTGCCATTTATATAACAAAACCCTCAATCAGAATTGAAGCCAGAGAGGGGTGTGTGTGTGTGTGTGTGTGTGTGTAGGTATGAGTGTGTGTGTGTGTGCTCACGCAGGCTGGGGTAGTAGGGATCAGAGACAGAATGCAATAGTAAAGGGGCTAGCACTCTGGTGTAGCAGATAAAGCTTCAGCCTGCAGTGCCAGCATCCCATATGGGTGCCAGTTCGAGTCCTGGCTGCTCCACTTCTGATCCTGCTCCCTGCTAATGCACCTGGAAAAGTAGTGGAAGATGATCCAAGTGCTTGGGCCCCTGCACCCACCTGGATCACCCAGAAGTAGCTTCAAGCTCCTAGCTTTGGATCAGCTCAGCTCCATTAGGCCATTTGGGGAGTGAACCAACGGATGGAAGACCTTTCTCTCTGTCTCTCCCTCTCTCTGACTCTGCCTCTGCCTCTACCTCTGCTTCTCTGTAATTATGCCTTTCAAATAAATACATAATTTTTTTAAAAAAATAATACAATATAAAGAGATTCTATCAAGTCTTCATCAAATATCTTAAGCCAGTAGTTCATTCCATCCATGACTGCTCTATTCGGAATGCAGTTCTGGAGGAGTCAGCACTTAGAATGCCATCACTAACCCAGAACATCCCTGGAGACTATGTGTGTCCGTCGTTTTCCCCAGCTATCCGTTCATGTTCACCCAACTTTAGCTCTTTGGTTAATGGAATATTCCATTCAAGAATAAATGAAAATAGTCTCAAAATCACTGCCAACCTGGGGGGACTAGCCTTTCTACTTTATGTATCTCTTCCCCGACCATTTTGAAACCTAAATAGGACAGGCAGAGGAGCAGCCAATTTCAAGCTATTTTTGCTTCCTTCCCAGCTTAGTCCTTAAGCCTGTCCCCTGCCTTAACAGAGTCTTGCTTTCCTTTCTTGTCATCTAGCAGCCAAGAATACTGAGTACAGTTTGAAGAAATAACTTCATACTATGGAAACATTTTCTTTATTAAGACAGCTGACAGCATATGGGATGTATATATTCATTCTCTAGATTGCAATGCCATTTTTAGGGCAGAGAGGGGGTTTGGAGATGATCTTATTTATGCTGTTTTTCAAATTTCAGATGCTGTGGATAAAAGGCAAAGCTTGCCATTTTCCATTTTTTATGAGTTTATGAGATTAGGGAATGTTTTCTCCACCCTGTGATTTTGACACGACTTTGAAAATTGCCTGGCAACTCTGGACAAGATTTTGATTTTGTAAAGCCCTGCTGATCTATTAAATGAAGAAATAAAATATAGCTAATTAGTAAGGATTTTTTTCAGATGACAGCATGGTACGTATCTTGGGTCTACTTGGAAAAGACAGGAAAAGTGATCATCACAAATATGGCCAGTGCAGAGTGCAGGCCTTTATGCACATTGCCTTTCTGCAAGAATTGAGCTCTCTTTGCAGCTCACATATTAAGCCCTGGCATGGTTCATAAATTGGCTCTTCCTTCCTTGCCCTACCCTCCCTGTCTTCCTTGCAACTCCAACTTCTCTCTTCCATGAGAGTGGAGCTGCAGCATGGTAAAAGGAAATGATTTCATCTGGGTGGAGAAAGGAAAAGACACAATTTTGGCCCCAAATGCTTAAGTCCCATGTGCTGTACCAGAAAACCAGCTGCTGAGTCACAGGCTGAGTCTTACTAAGTGGCAGGGCCTTGCTCTGTTGGCCTCCCTACGGGATGGAGCAGCACAGGGAGGGGACAGGGAAGAGAAGCAACCAAGACTTGCATTTGGTTACATGTTCCTAACTATCTTTATCCTGTAGCCCTTCCCTTTTGATTTGTACAGGAACATGTCTCACCAGAGTGCTGCTCTGGCTGTCATAACTTAGATCTCATATAATGTAAAAAGGGGTACAGGTGTGACTAGGCTTTTCTACCTAAAATTGTACAAAATCTCCATGCTTTAGATTCTTGCACCATGTGCTGATTCTGAAAACTAATCTAGGACTATATTCCAAAAATAGAGACTTTTTAAAAACCTGAATTTAAGATTCTATCCAAAATTCAGAAAAGCACAGTTAATCCTTAGGGAGGGAAATGTCACTAGTAATGGGCTAATTAAAGGTACCTCTGCTCATCATTTCATTCTTTCACCCCAGCATGCTTCATGGTGGAGGACATGCAAACAGGACTGAAATGAGCCGGGTGTCAGGGTCACAATCATCTGAGTGGGTGCCGGTCGGCTTCTGCTGGGCAGGGAGGGGAAGTGAAGTCAGCTTCTGGGCTCAGCAAGTCAACTCCTGAAGAGCTCGGTTTGTGGACAGATGTGATCTCACCACCATACAACCATGTCCTTTCCTTCCCACCGTCCCTACCATTGCACTCTGGCAAGCCTACCACTCTATTCCCCTCACTAGGGCAGGGGTGGGCTAGGTTAGAGAATGGATCTCTCACACATCAACTCCTGGAAATCCCAGCTGTTGGTTTACCAGAGTTTATTCCTCATACCCTCTGGGCCTTCAGATATAAAGAGCCAAATGGATCACAATCTTCTTTCATGACGTGCTCTAATCACTGATACATGTATGAGCCATCTTCAAAAATTCATGGAAAATACATATTATGTAAAAAACTATCCACTGCTTTAAAAAAAAAAAGTACCAAAATAAACTTATACTAATGTGCTGAGGCATGTCTAAACAGAATCTAGTTTAAGGCAATAAGAAGAATAGAACATCAATTTGAAAAGAATCCCCACCACAATAACATAAATTCTGCTAAAACTGATGCAAGAACAAACATAAAATTAATGATGATGCTTGGGTGGAACAATGGTGAAGTCATTGATAGATCAGAAAAAGTTTGTGGAGAAATTCCCCAAAGAAATCATTAGTTTACAAATGGATAACCAATTTTAAGAAAGAATAAGAAAATGTTGAAGTGTCCACAGTGGCAATTCATCCACATCAACTTTTTTTTTAAAGATTTATTTATTTATTTGAAAGACAGAGTTACAGAGAGGCAGAGGCAGAGGCAGGGAGGGAGAGAGAGAGAGAGAGAGAGAGAGAGAGAGAGAGAGAGAGAGGTCTTCCATCGCTGGTTCACTCCCCAAATGGCTGCAATGGCCAGAGCTGCACCAATCCAAAGCCAGGAGCTTGAAGCTTCTTCCGGGTCTCCCATGGAGGTGCAGGGGCCCAAGGACTTGGGCCATCTTCCTTTGTTTTCCTACGCCATAACAGAGAGCTGGATCAGAAGTGGAGGAGCTAGGACTCGAACCTGGCACTACACGTGATGACTTTACCTCCTACACCACAGCATCAGCCCCAATCAAAATTTTTTAAAATATCGATTGATTGATTGATTGATTGATTGATTTTAGAGTCAGAGAAATGGAGAGAGAGAGACAGAACTTGTGCAATATCTGGAGCTGTGCCAGGCCAAAACCAGGAGCCAGAAATGCAGTCCAGATCTCTCATGTGGGCGGCAGGAACACAACCAACTTGAGCCATCACTGCTACTTTATAAGATTTGCATCAGCAGGAACCTGGCATCAGGAACAGAAGTGGGTACTGAGCCCAGGCTTTCCAATATGGGATGTGAACTTCTTAATGTATGTCCTGACTACTAGGCCAAACACCTGCCTCCATCCATACCCATTTGCGAGAAAAAAAAGTCAATCATATTTGTGCCTTAATTAAAGGAGACCTACAATTAAAAAGCAGAAACCATAGCATCGTAGAGGTCTCTTAACTGGTTCAGCTAACACATTTCTGACTGAAAAATTAAAGTGAAGCCATCTTTTTGTTCGATGGGTGCCAAAACTATTATGCCCATATCAAGTGTAAGCAAGAGTAGAACTTTCAATGGAAATTTTATACAAGTGGCATCAGAATCCGGAAGCAGTTCTTGAAAAACTCTGACAACAGATGAAACATGAATGAACAATCCTGAAGACAAAGCACAATCAAAGTAATGGCCACCAGGAGGTCCTGGCAACCGTTTCTTAGAACTCTCAAGCATTTTGCTTGTTGGCTTTAATGAAAGCCAAAGAAAAACGACATCTGCTTGTTTGGATAGTGTTTTGAGAAACTCAGTCTTCAGCAGAGAAGTGCCCAGGAAAGCTCACCAGAAAGTCTTTCTCCATCATGACAATCTTTTTGCTCATTGTTGATATCACACAAGGGCAGTTTTGCAATAATGTCCATGAGAAATCACTGGGCATCCACTTTACAGTGTTGGCTCGGTTGCTTCTGCCTTCTTTTTGTTTCCTAATATTTCCGATCTTTAAGGCTACTCTTTTTTTTTTTTTTTCAGTTAATAATGCAAAAATGACTGCAGTGGCCTGGTTAAATTCCCAGGGCCCTCTGTTCTTCAGGGATGGACTAAAAGGCTGGCATCGTCATCTACAAAATATCCTGAACTTGGAGGAACTTAGGTTGAGAAATAAATTTTATAGTTCTTATTTTATCTTTTAATTCCACTGTCCATGAAACTTTGAAGTCCTTTTATATGTTCTGCTTTTATTTATATGGATATTTTAAAATAGTTTAATATGGCCTTATGAAACTACCTCTCTCACCTACCCCCCAGAAGAAGCTAGAACTTAGTAGATAACCTACATGTATCCATATGGTTCTTCCTCATTCCCTCGCCAACCCGCATCCCCAAAGCAACATTATCCTGAATGCAGGGCTGATAATCTTCTTGCTTTCATTATCAAGAATCCTGTTATTTTATCTATATGCATTCAAAAATTTTTATTGTCTTTAATTTTGGAAAATGGATATAATGCTGTTGGTATTATTGTTGGGAATTGATATTTTTAAGTTAATATTGCATTTTGGGGGCAGGAGTAGAGCCTAGCAGTTAACTTGCATGCTCACCTGTGTCCCACAGGAAAGTACCTGAGTTCAGTCCTGGCTCCAGCTCTGGATTCTAGCTTCCTTCTGCTGTATATCCTGTGAGGCAGCAGTGATGGTCCAAGTAATTGGTTTCCTGCCCCCCACATTGGAAACCTGAATTGAGTTCCTATCTCCTAACATCAGATCAAGCACAATCATTATTGGCATTTGGAATGTGACCCAACAGATGGGAATTATCTCTCTCTCTCTCTCTCTCTCTCTCTCTCTCTTTCTCTCAAATAAATAGGTTAAAATTTGAGAAAAATAAATTGCTAAAATTATTCCACTCATTTAGATTGTAATCTTCCTTTATCTAAATGTTACACAGGTCATTCACCCACTGGCAGGATAGTTAGATTGTTTGTATTTTCCTTGTTGCAAACAGCACAATATGTGCATATGCCCTGCTGTGCATGTACAGAGTTTCCCCTGATAATACACCTAGGAGTTGAACAGCTGGGCCAAAGAGTATGAAGACATCCACTTTACAGTATAACACCAAACAGATCATCAAGGGCTTTGCTAATCTGAAGTGAAAAGGTTCAAAGTTTGCATTAGAATCATATTAGGCAAGATTTGTGTGTTGCGGTTTATGTGTTATGATTAAGTTCTCTGTTCAATAAACTGTTTAAAGTTATTTTCATCGAGAGCAGGCTCAGCCATCTTCAATAAATTATTTGTTTTATGATCTCCAAGTGCAAGGAGCTTTTCCTAGTGTTGTTCTTGCTAATCTCTGAGCTAGGGGAGTGTTGTGAGGGACACTAACATATGTATAATGAAATTCTGGTAATTGAAGTGGACAATCAGATACATTACACAGCAGATACTGCCTTACAGACTTTATCTGTGTGCTGTGTGAACCACAATTACAGCAGTACCCTCTCTCTGCCAGTTAATTACAGAGAACTGCTTTCATCTTCAGGAAAGAAAACAGCTAAACACATCACAACCAAACTGTCAAAACTAAAGAAAAAGAGATGCTTTTGAAAGTAGCCAGAGAAAAAGGATTCATCACTTGAAGTTACCCTCAATAATATTGACATTGAATTTTCATCAGAAATAGCGCAGACTTGAAGGTGGTAAAATGACTTAAAGTGATTAAAGCAAAGGATTATCAATCAAGTACTCTACATCCAGTAAAACTGTCTTTCAAAAATGAAGAAGTTAAACCAGCTTTATAAATCAATACTTAGAAAACCATGTTCATTATGTTCTGTGCCCCGAGCATTAAAACATGAAATTAAGTATTAGACTGTAACTTCTGCAGAAAAGTTAATTTGGGGTTTTAATCAAGTTACTATGAATATATAGATCAATTTGAGGAGCCCCATCTTAACAACATTAACTCTTTTGACTTAAGGACATAAGATTTTTTTTGCCTAGTTTTAGTTCTTAACTTATCCAATGTTCTTTTTGTCCCTTTCACTCTCTCCTCTTTTTCCGGAACTCCCATTAAGTATATTTTAGTATTGCTTGAGAGTGTCCTAATATCACTGAGCCTCTGGTTATTTTTCTTCATTATTTTCTCAGTGTCTTTTATACCAAATAATTTCAGCTGACCAATCTTCAAGTTCACTGATTCTTTATTCTGCCAACTCTTGAGCTCTTCTAGTGAATTTTTCAAGTATTACACTTTTCAATTTCAAAATTTCTAATTGATTCCTTTATTATTTCTGCCTCCTTATTGTTATTTTATATCTGTTGATGCTGTATTTTTATTCAAATCATGTAATTTTTGGAAAGATTTTTTCTGCTTTTTTTTTATTACTCTCAAATTTACAAAACAAAATTTGTGAGGCAGTAATATGAGTTCCCATATATCCCCCACCCATCCCCCTACTGACACAAATATTTGTCACAATTAGCTCTTTTAACATACTTACAATATGTGATTTAACATCTTTATAAGCTCTAATATTTAGACTTTCCTCAAGAATAATTTCTGTTGACTATTTTTCCCCTGGGTAAGGGCCTATGTTACTTTGCATATCTTGTAGTTTTGTTTATTGGAAACCAGATATAATGAACAACATTTGAGTGATATGACAACTCTGTAAGTTTTATCTAAAATCTCTGCCTTCACTCAGGATTTCAGCTTTCTATAATGTGTTTAGTGACTATTCTGCACTGATTCTTCGTCACTTTGGTCCACAGAATTCTCTGATTGATTAGTTGAGTGGTCACAGAATTGTTTTTGCAGAGATTTCCTTAACTCTTTTGAGCCAGTAAGTTTCTCAACCTTGCCAAGAGAATTTTTGTGTGTTCAGTGACACATTTTCCAACAAACAGCAGGAAGATTACAACTCTATCTTAGTCTTCACTTCCTGTTAAGCACAGAGCCTCTTGGGGCCAGTACTGTTGCACAGTGGATGAATGCCCTGGCCTTCAGCACCGGCATCCCCTAAATGGACACTGGTTCTAGTCCCAGCTGCTCCACTTCCTATACAGCTCTCTGCTATATCCTGGGAAAGCAGTAGAAGATGGCCCAAGTCTTTTGGCTCATGCACGCATGTGGGAGACCCAGAGAAGGTTCCTGGCTCCTGGCTTTGGATCTGCTCAGCTCCAGCTGAAGTGGCCATTTGGGGAGTGAACTAGCTGATGGAAGACCTCTTCTCTCTCTACATCTATCTATCTCTGTCTCCACCTCTCTCTGGAACTCTGTCTTTCAAATAAATAAAATAAATCTTTGAAAACACACACAGAGAGAGAGCCTCTAAATCAACAGAGGAGAGAGATCAATGCCTTCTCAGCTCTTTCCTGAGCATGTGCACAGGCTTGCACATTTTAGTGGCCTTCTAGATTCTCAAAAACATGTAAGGGTTTACAAAGTCATTTCTTGGCATCTCATTCTCCCATATTCTTCTTAGACTATATTTATTTTTCAGCTGCTTGTTAGCCCAAACTGGTGTAGCTGCCTCAGGCAGCTGTGATGTTAAACAATTGCCACAGATTTTCTTTAATGCTTAAAGATAGAGATGTACACACAGAGGGAACTGAGCAGTATCAAACATAGACCATCTAAGGATAGAACTTTACACAATCTGCCAAACATTCCAAAGAGTGAAAATTTCTGGGAGACAGGATTTGGGGGATTTCTAAGCTCTTCCTTCCCCTTGTGTGGCTGCTTAGGTTCCTCACTTTCACAGGTACTGTAGTTATGAGGTTGTTGGATTTCAGGTCTACCATGGAGCTAGTGAAAGGGGCATAGGAACAGTAAATCTGCAAAGCTCACTTTTCTTACTGTGCTTCAGATTGTGTGCTTATTTTTTAATGAAAAAAGTATTTACCTCAAATTGTTGCAACTATTTGGCTAAGTTTCTAGTCATCATCATAATTTCATAGATTTTTATTCTAAAATTGTCAAAACAAATATTGTACATTCATGTTTCTTTTTTTCATTTTAGGTGCTTTTGTCATCATTTCTTTGGAGAGAGATATGTAAATAAAAATAAAGAGAATGTTTCATATTATAAAAAAGAAAGAATCCAAATGCTGCACAGATTTTTTAATATCTGAATTTAATTTTTTAAATGCCCTCCCTTCTCCTTCCTGCTACATTATCAGATATAACTGTACCTTACCTCTCAGATGTGTTTAATTTCCCCTTTGAAATGCTGTTCTCATCCATGATAGGTTTGGAAATCACTAACCAGACTTGTTAAAATTGTGTGCGACATGTGAGTAAATGGGCTCTGAGAAATAGTTTGAAGAGGTTCGTTTCCAAGTCAAGTGGATTTCACAAACTTTATAACTTAACTTTTAAGGATTAGAGGCCTCTTTTGTTCACTTTCTCATTCTTAGTTGTGTTTTAGATGAGAAAGTTCATTAAATGGTCAAATTCCATCTATTTCAGATGGTTCAACAGAGGACTGAGACTACGATTCAGGTTCTATTTCAATTCAGATATTTGATTGCTATATGGCTGAGCACCACGCTAAATCATCTTTTACATCTTTCAGTGTTCGCAACTACAGAATAAAACAGTCACCTCACAGAGTTAGTTGTTATCACATACCTTCAACTTTCACACACCACAAAGTATTATCCTAAAGAATTAAGATTACCTTGAAACATGTTGATCTCCGTCTAGAAATCTTTAGAAAAGAATGCCAAGGTTTCTGAGTCTTTCAATAGGCAAAGGGCCAAGGAGTTGACCCATCCTAGCAAATATTTCAGCAGATATTATAATCATATCATGCCAGGTTCTAAGACAGATTAATAATTACAAAGAAAAACTCAAATATTATATATCTAAAGATATTCTAAGTTTTCCTTAAACTAATATATGAAGTAGCATTGTTCTGAAGTGGGTAAAATAAAGAAAGAAAGCAGTATATTTATTCTTCCAGTAACCTTTACCAAAGTAGTGAATGGCAAACGCTATGTTGCAAATATGGCCAGAAACTTGTCTACTTCCTTCAAGAACTGAAAAATGTTTTCCTATCTTGAATCTCTGAAGACTACAGATTTTGTTGTGGGATATTAGCAAATTTGATACAATCAGAGGCTGAACTGGCCTTTGCCTATAGGATAGGGTCTTACCCTTTTGTTCTTGGACTCTGCCTCCACCATGTGAAGAGATCCAGGCAAGTCTTCTGGAAAATGAAAGGAATTTTGTTGGAGAACCAAGTTTCCTGGCTGACAGCCAGCGTACTCCCAAAAACAGAACCATTGATTGACCCACAGCTAACTTCAGACTTATGTAGGAGACCAAACATTTTCTAAGAATCATCTGGATGAGCCCAGTATAATTTTCTGACTCCAGAATCATGAACTAAATAAATGGTACTGCTTGAAACACTAAGTTTTGGCGTGGTTTGTAACTGTATCATACATCATCAGTGCATTCAACCCTCTCTTCTTGCTGGCAGCATACAAATTACTTAAAGTGATTCAAAGGATAATGACTTCAACCATTCTTCTAAGTCTTGATTGATCTAAGCCATTGATCTGTTGTTTTGTCCTTTATGTCTTGCCATTTATAGATTATTGTTTGATCTGTTGATATTTATAAATTGTAATTGATCTATTTCCATTGATTAGAAAGTAATAAGTATGTGAGCCCACTTGGCCAGAGAAGTCTGAGGGGCAATCTGCCTGAGGCTGTAGCCTTCTCTGCTTCTACATAATAACAAAGACAGCCGCGAGATGTGGAACTGCAAAAGCCATTTTGCTCTGAGCCTAAGAATGGAGCCAACATATAAAGGAAAGAAGAACTAAGAGACCCTCAGAAGAGCAGAGCTGGAGCCCTCACATCCTAAATTTCTGTATCTGGGTCTGTTGTTATGGGAGACCCTAAATTTTTCCTATTGTCTATGTCAGTGTAGGAGTTTCCAGTTGCTTGCATTCCAGGTAGAACATCCACCTTCCATGAACACACTCCCCATACATTAGGACATAAGAACTGGTAAGGAGAGTGTGACACTTATAACATTTTATAGTCATCCCATAAAATCTGTTTCCTTTCGTTTGTTTCTTTAATTTTTAAGTTTTGGGATTTTTTAAGAGAAACACATACAAAGAAATACTTATTTCCCATAACTCCATACATTTTGATTTCATATAGTCTAGAAATATTCTTTCATGTGAAAAAGAAATGTAAAAAAATTCTATAGTAGCAGTGAATATGGTTTCTAGGCCATAATTTTAAAGCTACATAGAGGCTGGGGTGGATATAACCAAAGTCTGTTCTAAGACCAAAGAGGAAGTACAATGCATTTGTTCATCTGTGCTAGTTTATAGTTAGCTTTTTGTAAAATCCGAATGTATCAGTGTATTTGAATAATCTTGAAGCATAGTTTTTCTACTTGGTGATATATGGAAATAGTAGTTTCAATGGAAATGAATAAAGACCACTTAAAAGACACATCTTTTGTGATCAAATTAGAGATGGAGTGAGATAGCTGATGATCACTGAAAAGAATGTTGAGCCATGGTAATAGTAAGTATGAAGTTGTTATATCCCATTTCCAAATATTCATGCATCTGTGATTATTTTCATGCCTATTATGGAAATTTCTGGCAATAAACTGCACAGATATTGACTTTCCAGCATCAGAGACAGTGCCAGGGAACAAGTCCACCACTCTTTTGCATGGCTCTCACCATATTTGGCTCTTTCATATAGTTCACTTCGAACAAACTCAGTAAAGTAATACATCAAAAATGACATTTTTGTATGCATGCATTTGCCAAAATGCATTCCTTTACTTTCTGAGAAACTTCAACAGATTTCTCTTGAAGAAAAAATTATCTTTTGGTCTAATAAGTAAAGAAATGCAGAGAACCTGTTCTAATTAGAGATTCACAACGCAAAATTCTGAGAATGACTGCAGTTAAAATAGTTTGACTGTTTAATCCATTGTTCCATAAGATGCTGGTTTGTGAAATGTTGCTTTAATAGAGTCTATTGACTTGGCAATGGATGATAAATGAGGTTCAACAAAAAGATAATAGTAAAAATTATCCTGGAGGGGCTAGCGCTGCGGCACAGTAGGTTGGGCCTCTGCCTGTGGTGCCAGCATTCCATGCACTCTCTAATTTATGTCCTGGCTGCTCCTCTTCCAATCCTGCACTCTGCTGATAGCCTGGGAGAGCAGTAGAGAGTGGCCCAGGTGCTTGGGCCCCTGTACCCTAGTGGGAGACTCAGAAGAAGTTCCTGGCTCCTGGCTTCAGATCAGCCCAGCTCTAGCCATTGCGACCATTTGAGGAGTCAACCAGTAGTTGGAGGACCTTTCTCTCTGTTTCTCCCGCTCTTTGTAGCTCTGCCTCTCAAGTAAATAAATATTTTTAAAAATTATGCTGTCATGTGAACCTATATAACTGGAAGAATGTTGAGTCTGTTAACAAGAAAGCAAGCATGAAGATGGTTGCATGTGAGGTAAAGGATGAGCTCCATTCCAAGCACACTGAGGTTGATGGAAAGATCTTTGGAGGAATATAACACTCCAGCCACTGGAAATTCAAGTGTAGAGCTTATTTTGAGGTTCTGACCAGAGATGCAGGTTTTACAGTCATATACAGAATCAGTAATAAAAGTCAGGGCAGTAGGTCATATTACAAAGGAAATTATGAAGAGAGGAGAGACTGCTAAAGGCAGAATGTCTTCCTGTATTTAGGGAATCATCCTGAGAAAGATATGTAGAGAATACAGAACTATGTTTCTGTAGAAATCAAAAGAAGGGGTCTTGAGGAGGAATAAATGCCACCCAGAGGTTAAAAAAGACTAAGACCTTAAATAAGATCATGAATGTAGTGATTTGAAGTGAGTGGGGACCTTCCGGAGAGCATGTGGCATTATGATGAGAACCTAAACCTTATGGAAAGGGTTAGGAATTGAGGGAGTGCAGAGAAAAGAACAGTGAGGCACAATAATTTTATCAATTATGAAGAGAATATAAAAGATAGCTCGATAGCTTACGAAATAGCAGAATAGAGGGAATGTCACCTTTCTAAGAGGTAAGGTGGTCTAAGCTCCTTTGGAGGCAAAGGGAGTGAATACAGATACATGTAAAATGGGAAACACTGAAAAAGTTTTCAAAGAAGATGGACAGTATGTCAGTAAAAAATTTAAGCCACAAGGAAAAATGGAACAAAGAGTGTGCTTAACTGTAGCAAGGGCCAAGCTCCTCTTTTTAGAAGACAGTAATGAATGATGAAGTTATAGGAAGGGGGAGCTGAGCACGCTCCTCAACAAAGTAGGGGCCAATGTCACCTGTGAGAATGAGAGCAGTGGTGAAGGGCTGACATTTGAGGAAGGCTGAAAAGCTTCAGAACATGGACTTTGTTTAAAGAGCTGGGGAGACACTGGAGAACATGTAAGCCAACTCTCCTATCCACTTTACGAAGGTTATGTTAAGAGTTGCCAAAAAACACAGTTAGTGACTTATAATATTTGTCCAGTAAAACAGTCTCAAAAATGTGCAAAAAATGAATGACTGGACTTCTAGGCATGGTGAGGGCCCTAATAAGGTTAAAACCAAGAGGCTGTGGAATAATTCTTTGACAGTTTGGGACAGTGCCTTACAGCCTGTGTGCTGCAACAGAAGCAAAGAAGAATGGGTGGAGAATGGAACAGATGTTAAGGGGAGATGGTGATGAGTACAGAGAGGTAAAAAGTGTTTCATACAATAAATGACAGAATGAGAATCTGGCACTTGTCAACTAATGTGGAAAATTTTGAGTTTAGGAAAGTAGCAGTAAAGTGAGAGACTGACTCTTCCATTGATGACCAATAAATTGGCCATTAGACTGACTGATGGACTCAAGTGAGGGATATACCAATGGATTGGTCCACTTTTTTTTTCCAAAAAAGCATGACTATGTTAATGCCATTGTCGAGGGAAGTGGGTGGAGAGTTTGCACCAGTTGTGGAGATAGCACCCACTGGCTCAATAAAACATGAAATCCAATGGTCTGGAGGTTTCCAGAATCCCCATGTGGATTCTGACTTACCACTTCGGTGTAAGCAAGCATCTCAGCCCCCCTTTAATGTAGTGCCTAATTAAGGCTAAAAAGTCCTGGCAGTTTCTGAAATAGACTCACCCACTCAACCAGCCTGCTGCAGCAGCTGTTGGATACACTGTTGATATCGTGCCTTCTGCCAAGATCCTACTGGCTTTTCCCCTGCTATTTCTGATGTCCAGCCATGATGCAATAATGGAGTTGTCAGGGTGGAGTGTGGACTGCAGCGTCCAGTATTGTCTACTACTCCAACAAGAAATCAAAAGTGACTGCTTAAGTTATTAAAAGGGGTGGGAATGGGCAGACAGAAGGCAGACAATGTTCTGATCTCCGTGTGATTTCTTTGTGTTTTAATGCTCCTGACTTTTGGCTTTTTGTTTATTTTTATGTATCTTTTCTTTTTATGGCTTGTCCTCATGACTATGCCACACATAGACCGGAAAGGTTAAGTTTGCCCACGTCCTACTTTAGCCAATGATGCCACTCAAAACTGCTTCAAGGTCTAGGTCTTAGCTATTTCAGAGGGGGCCAATAAGAACATTTTTCCACTAAATAATGAGTTCTACTTGGTCTAAGAAGTAGGTTGTATGAAATGTGTGAGCAAACAAGGAGTCCACAGCTCAAGTTATATCTATGCTAACCCACCATGGTCCTCAGCTTCCTTCAGACGGACAGACACTCCCTGTTCTACACAGGTCAGCCAGGTTTGTGTCTTGGGCTTGTGAACCCCACATTTTATCATAGTTCATTCTTTTGTTTTTGCCATTTTTAAATATATCCTTAAGGTCCTCCAAATAGCAAGAATAAAATGGCTTGCATTTAAAAAAAAAGGTTAAAATGAAGGAAATGGAATTCAACTTCATTGAAGTACTATAACAATGTTTCTGAATGGCTCTGCATTGGCTGAATCCAACTACCCTGTTCTGCTAGTAGAGTCATGGTTTCCTGCTGCAGGGTCCTGCATAGCTTGCCTGGTGTTTTTTCATCTCTCACACTACAAGACTTGATGGCCTATTGTTCTCAGAGACATGTACCACAGGGCCTGCAAAGGGCGGTTTGATAGAAGGGTGAATCAGGGACAGGAGAGATATTTCCAAATTCTTTTCCTTTTGTGGTCTCAAGCAGCGTTACT